TATTAGATTTATTGTATCAAGTATTTTCAAAATATTATTTTATTTAATTCAAATACAATATATATTTTATTTAATTACAGGTCAAAGATTGAAAACAGTTAGCAAAAAAAGTCAAAACTGGATAAATACTCAGGGACGGAGGTAGTAATATATAGTGTCACAGTGTCATAGTATAATAATTCTATTTTGAAAATAAAAAATATCACTCTTATTTCGAAGATAATTTTTTTTAAATTTGATTTTATTTTGGTTGATTTTTTATATATGCAGTTTTTTTTACATATTAAATTTTTATAGTATTTATCCATTTAAAACTATATTGGATTTAAAAGTTATACTCGCAAATTTAAATATGCGTTTTCGATTAGCTTTAGCATTTTGGATAAAATTTTAACGGTGTAGATTAATTCTGAAAACGTTAAAAGCTACTGTCAGATAGCATTTTTAAAATGCTAACGCCAACCTCTAACGTTAATGCCAAACAGGAAATATATTCATTGCTATAAAACTTTTTCTTCATTTAATTTCATCATTGTTTTGTTTGATATGGTTGGTAGGTAACGGTCTATTAATAGTATTCCACACAAAAAATCAAAATTAAATTAATTACTTCTGTTTTTTGGCCCATCACACTAACACTATGTTTGGTTTAAGGAATTTGGAAGGAAAAGAAAAGAAAATAATTTTTTTTTCATTTCCCTTCACTTAGTACATTTTTCCTTCCGCTTTTCATTTCTTTCTTTTTCTCTAACCAAACAAGAATATCAGCTTTCCACTTTATTTTCTTTTCTTTTTTTCTTTTAAATTTCTTGAACAAAAGATAGCGAAAATAGTTTGTATCAGTATATTTTTATCTCTCTAGTTTTGTGAATGGAGATTACTAGTAGAATCACAATTGCAATTTAGTAGGCCTTCATGTTTGATACTACGTATATATTATGATCAAACACTTATTATTACCGAGTAGTTTTGGTAATTTTTTTATCTTTTTTTTAAAATTTTACTGCAAGTTTAAAAAGTCTAACTCTACCTATTAAAAAAAGAGAGAGTCTAACTTATGCTTACTCACTACTTCAATTTTACCTTTTTTACATTTCTACTATTATTACTCCGTACTTTTATATGAATCAATATTATTAAATTAATATTTTTATACTTTTCTGAGTGCTATATAATTATTCTCTCAAAAAATAATTATTTTTTTCAAAGAGGAAATTATTATTACCTATCTATTACCCCGGAGCATAATTTCTACCTAGCTATCTACTAAAGATATATGGAGCATTGTTATGGAGGAGGTTTGGTAAATAATTCCTCTGTCCGAAAATAATCTTTCCAGTACGGTTTAAGAAAATTGAGGTTTGAGTGAAAATTATTCAAATTCAATTTATTTGATTATACGTGTAAAATTTAAAAAAAAACTTAAACATTTTAAAAGTACATAAAAAAATTTTACAAAATAAGAGGTGACATGACTATATTATTTTATCGAATAACTAATGAAAATAGGTAAAGAAAGTGATTAAAGTTTGATCATGTGAATATTTTTTCTTAATCATTTTTTAAAGGGAGAGTATTATTATTATTATTATAAACTATACGGAGTGACAATATTATTACTCCTCCCGTTCCATTAAACCCTTCCTCTTTTATTTTTTTCAGTTCCTAAAACACTTCCACCCCTTATTAAAAAATCACTTTTACCTCTACTTTTATTATACCCTACCCATCACATCATACTTTTTCACTAATAACTAAGCTATCACATCTTATTTTTACTCATCAATCAGGAGTAAAATTGGAAAATCAACTAAAATTACACTTTTCTTATTTTAGTTCAAAGTCAAAATGAGAATGATTTAATGGAACGGATGTAGAGTATTATCTTTTTAATCAAACAATCTACTCATCTCCGCTGCATCGGTACATCCTACTCCCTCCGTTCGAAAATATTCTTCCCATTTGACTTTTTACGGTCTCCAAAATTGCACTTTGACAACTAATATCTTTATTTATACATGGATATAATTTATAAAAATTTGATATTTGAAAACTATATTTCAAAATGAATATATTCATATTAAAGTTATATCGTAATACAATACTCCGTATATTTTTTCCACATATCATAGTCAAAGTTTACAAACTTTGACCAAGAAAAGTCAAATGGGAAGGATATTTCCGAACGGAGGGAGTATTTATTTTAGAGTTGACTATATCTATAATTTTTTTCATTTTTTATGCTGGCTTTTATGTCTTCATGCAAGTTATGAATTAGGAGTATTATTATATATTGGACAATTATTGTTGTATTAATTGTTATTGTCTCCCTATTTAATGTGGATTTGTAACACATTTATAGTTCTACTCCTTCCGTTCCAAAAAAATTTCTTGTATAAAAGAACACGTTTTAAATGTATGTAATTTTGGTGTTATTACTTTTTAATTATGAGGTATCTATCTTACATATCATATCCTATCCAATTATAAAGTACGGTTGAAATTAGAAAATAAAACTAAAATGGTACTACCTCCGTTTTAAAAAATATTTTCTGTTTTAACTTTTGCGAGGGGAAACTGTTGATGTTTGACCAAGGTGAAACAACGACAATTGAAACGAGTATGACTCGAGAAATGTCAAAATGAATAGACCGTAGAAGATAGTTGAGAAAGATTCGTTAGATCTAAGAAAAGTAATTAAAGGCAATTGTGTCTGTTAACCTAAATTAAAATATTTTATTGGGAAAAATAAGATTTGAAAGTTAAAAAGTTTTAAGGGACGGAGGAAAGTCATTTTTAAGATGCACCTTTTTAAAACAAGAAAGGTTTTAAGAGGTTAGAAGGAATAATATATATTATGCGCTACAAAAATATGTACTTTGAAAAACTTAATTCCTACTTTTTTTTATAAATTATTCTGATTTTATTAATATATTAAAATCACAATTAAAAGGTAACGTAGGTTACGTAGCAGTATTTTTTATTTTTGTTTAAAAGCTAAACAATAATCGAAGCAACAAAAGCAACCAAAAATTACGTCACCATTCTAAAAAAATTTCGTTACTATTCATACGGCCAAATTTATCTATTTGCTTTCATATTTTTATTAGTCACTTGATAAAATAATATAGTCAAGTTACATTTTCTTTTGTAAAAAAGTTTTTGACTTTTTGGAGGAGAAAGAAATAAGACATTTTTTTTTTATTTTTATGAATGAATATTTTTAGGTTCCCTATAGAAATTATATTTAACCATTTGCTCCTAATTTATGAATGAATATAATTAAGAGCCAAGTGGGCAGCCACTAGTAGAATCTCTTGTTGGGATTTAGGTTCCAAATATGAAGCAAATAATGCCAAGAAATATATGTGTCTTCTTCTTTTTCCCCCTTTTGCCTTTTATCCTTGTAGGGCAATTTTTCTTTTTTTCGAAAAAAACATTTTTTGGCAATTTTTTCTCTTCTTTTTTTGTGTGTTCTTGTTGTTACTATTATTATTGAGAGAATTTCAGGTTTTTTTTTTATTTTTTTAAGGATCAAATTTTGAATATCTGTTTGAACTGTTATATATAGTTGTGATGTAATTTACGTACATAGACAATTTTTTCAAAAAAAAAGCAGGGAAATTAAAGGAAAAATTCACTTTGCCTCATTTTCATTTTTCTCATTTTGACTTAACATACACTATGTTTAATTCAAGGAATTTGAAAGGGAAAAGAAAATAAAATAAAATAGAAAACATAGAATATGCTTGGTTCTACTATAACTATTAGAACTCGTGTTTTATTTTCTAAATATATGAAGTATTTTTTATTTCAATTCTGATTTTAAAATTTATTAAATTAAAAAATATAAGTCAAACATTCTAAATCGAACTACCCTCACAAACACTTAAACGAAAGTAAGTTCTCCAATTCAAGGCTCTAGGTTAAAAATGAACAACCAGAGTGCGTCGATCATTTAGTTTTAACGTTTTGAGAAAATTAAAATTATTTAATACTCTGTAATAGATTGAGTTTATGTTTAATATTTTCAAAGCTTATTAACATCATTAAAAATAATCTAAAATGCTAATATTTGAAAATATTATTCCAAAACAAAGGCCAATCCATCCATGCAATATTTCACATTAAAGTATAAAATTAAAAATAATAATTAAATAGTTCTAGGGAAGATTTTTCTTACCTTCATAGGGCACAACAAAGGCAGGCAGTTAAAATATATTGGCCGCTTTGCTTTCTTGCTTTTGGCAAGGAGTAATGTCTTCTTTATGTGTGTATATATATAACAACATATTCAAATGACAAAAATTATAGAAAAAATAAAAAATTAATTGAAATAAAATAAATAAATAAATATCTTTAAAAGAGAGCCTTTGATTATATTCCCACGTGAAGTGCTTCTGGTCCATTGTTTGGTGAATGGGAATTCGGTTCCTTCCACCCGGCCAAGCTGCCTTTCACCACCATTACACACAGTGTACTTAAAAACGACCTTAATTAATTATTATTTGAAATATATAAATTCACTTTTGTCTTTTTTTTATATATAATTTTAATAAAAAAGTCATAATTTTGCCAAGTAGTCGAACTCAAGTCGAACATAATCATCTCTTAGCATAGTTATCGAGAATCGAACTTGAACTTACCCCCCTATCAAACAAGTACAGTTTCGGATGAAATGTAAAGATCGGATTTTACTATCCATGTCTCAAAATGATTGCTGCATTATGAAAAACAAAATAATCGTACATAAAAACAAAAGTTTTCGTAATTTTTGGATAGGAAAATGTTACATTTCTTCTTTTTTTTGGACGAAAGGAGTAGAAAAATGGTAAGAGTGATTAGGAGCCTGTTTGGGAATAGTGTTATTGTTTCGAAAAGGCTATCTACGATGACGTTTTTAAAATAATATACACTGTTAAAATTTAATTCAAAATGCTAATGCTAATTTCTCACGATATTTCCAAACTGGCATTAAGCTAGGCCCTATATGATGGGGGGGGGGGGTTCACTATTGATTAGTGTAATAATGACTCCTATAATGACGGAAGATACAACTATTGACTATATTGTTCGTATCTTCTTTTAACTTCAAGTTGCACGGGATGCAAATTTAATTAGTATGTCCAAAATTTTTCCTTCAAATTACGAATCTGTACCGCCTTCTTTTCCACAGCCAGTCTTCATACATAGAATATCCTATTATCATGTCTTGACTGGAAAATAAATATATGGTACGAGTTTTAAAATTTGAAAAAAAAAGTGATACAGGTCCTAAAATACGAAATAAAATCATTTAGAGACATTTGAAATCATTATTTAAATACTAATCTGCAGTGGGGGATGACATCTGGGTGATTGGCGATGGCAGAGGTATAGCCTGGGATGAGGGGTGATCGGCTAAAAAAGACAACAAACCACCATAGATATTTCGCAAAGTCAGAAAACATCGAAACTTCTTATTTGTAGAGTTTGTGATATCTAGAAATATTAAATATTAAATATTTTTAAGAGTCACCGATCATTATAGGGTTCACCAAAAGCCAAAAGAAAATTTGAAATATCAAAATATCAGAATCCATGTCTCTTTTTAATTAGTGTTATTATTTTTCTTATTAGTGCAACTTAATTTTAAAATAATTGAAGCAAAATGCTTGTATTAAATAATCTTTTCAAAATGTTAAATGATATGTAATACGTAGTACTACATTAATTCTATCATTATTTGTTTTGTCACAAATATTAATCCTTTTAATGCTTTTTTTCAATTTATTTTCTCATTATTGCTTTGATACTTGCACTACTTTAAACGCTAAGTGTCATATTCCATTTGTTTGTATGACAAGTATTTGCACTATCAATCTATAATATCAAAGCAATAATGACAAACTAAATACTTCTAAAAAGTAGAGTGAAAGATATCGAAAAATGGTAATTAGTAACGGAGTACTTTTATTTTTTGGTACCAAAGGAAATGAAATGATTAACACTTTGTAGTTTGTATCATACTTCTCTATCCCAATTTATATGGCCGGTTTTGATTTACAAGTTTGACTAAAATTATTTTCAAATCATTTTATATGACAATTAGTATATAATTAAAAAATAAAAATTATATATTAAAAACTACATCAAATGACTAGTGGTCATATAATTATTTTATCAATGACTAATGAAAATAGAGAAACAAGATGAATGAAGTTTGCCCATATAAATAGTGAGCAAATAATTTAATTTGAGACGAAGGGAGTATTAAAATGTTCAAAATGGAACATATTACGAAAACAAAACATCATCAACATCACATTAGTTTTTAAGAAAAAAAATAAATATACAAAAAATGAACACAAAGTTGAGAGAAACTATATTTAAGTTTAAATTTATAAAGCATAAAAATTAAAATTTTCAGGCACTAAATATCTTTTGGGGGGGCATATACAATTGCACAAGTTAAACCCCNCTGTTATACCAACATATATTAATCCATGGTATAGTTTATATCAAATTCAAACCCGAAAGAGAGGAGATTTTCCCCTGTTACCGATACCGATATTGATATATCGATAAACTTAAGGTACTGATACAAAATATGTTTATTTGATACCAATGACATCATCCTTGGTCATAATCTAATTTATATTAATAGAAAAATAGAAATATATAGGTCAATATAGGAAAATTTTTTGTATATCAATTATATACTAAAGTAGTAGCCAAAGTATATGGAGAATAGCATAAACTAAAGTATTGGAGTAGTAGCCAAAGTATATGGAGTAGTAGCCAAAGTATATGGAGAATAGCATAAACTAAAGTAGTCCTGCATGTTATAGTTGATGGTTTGCAATCTCACCCCTCTGAGTATATTGACAGACTGCAAATAAAACCATTATTATGGGATGGCATTCCCAAACTAGTACCTTTTGGCTTTACCTTCACTTTTGGAAACCATCATCAGAGAGAGCTTGTTGATCTCGTAAAGTAGCCCAACAGAGAACAAAATGCTGCACCGAAAATTCAATGAAATTTTAGAATTGTTTCAAAGAATTGAATATTTTTCACAAATCTTAATTGCCACAGGGCAACCACAAAACCATACTATATTTGCATGAACTGTAGTCTGTACCATGTAAGGATTATTCCCGTTTAAAAAAAACCGCTAAGATATCGTGAGAAACAACATATTTGAAAGAACCATGCCAGGGGTAGGTATCCCACCTTTCACCCCATCTTTTCTCGCTGACATCCACAGACACCATAATGTTCAATGTCTATGGATGTTTGTGAGAAGGTTGGGGTGATAGTTGAGGTGAATTTAGCATTTTTCTATTTCAAATTTTAGGTTGTTTTAGTTTGAGTCTTACAGACTTGGCACATTAAAGACCACAACTTTTAGCAATACTAAAAGATAGTTAAAGATTCATCAATAGTGAGGAACTTCTCTTGAGGTTTTGGGACTTCACCCCTCCATTTCGATAAAAAAAAGATAGTTAAAGATCCAAGTTTCAAGTTACAAATGGAACCAAGTAAAAACATGAGAGCATAAAAGTACATAACGTTTAACATCACATATAAGAGTTGAAGGTGTTGTTTACTACTCAGTCCTAAAGATTTTCCTTGTTTGGTTTGATTTTAGGAATGGGTTTGGAATAAGGGATGAAACCAGGGAGGTTTCAGTGTACAGAGTGTTCAGTAATGAAGATACGAAGGTCAGCTGTAGGGGTTGCAAAATGATGTCGGTAGCTGGAGGGAATTGAGACAGCTTAGGAGTGAAGTGTAAGTATTATTAGTTAATTAAAATGATGACTGGAACCCGAAAATAACATGAACCGAATATTAGTTAAAGGTGATGCTAGTTGCGGTAGTCTAGGCATGTGATGGGAGGATGCAGAAGAAACCCGAGTTCTTCATTGTTCGTGGCTGCAATGAAGAGCTCTGGAATTTCCCATGAATCCGAGACAATTCAGGAAAATACAGAGTAATCATTTGCTGATAGATAGATTTATTATTCCGTGTGTCCTATATAGATAGTAAGGCCTAATACAATCATAACTAACTCAAGAATGAAATAACCATAATTAAAAGGAAACTAGGATTCTTAATTGAAAAAATGTAAGCAGATATCCCACCTTGTCTGCGTGTTCGAATCAGCCCAAGCCCACTGTAGTTGTTTTCCCTTTTCTGATACAGGATCCCCGTGAAAGGGTCTGTAATGTCAAAGATCCAACTCAACCAAAAGATCGAGCTTGTGTACACAGGCCCTTTATACCAAAAGATCTAACATGACCTCTCAGGTGAATACGACAATTGTTTGCTCAAAGCCTTGCACGTGAAGTTGTGAACATCAGTTTTTAAAGTTTTTTAAGTGGGTGATGATAAGATTCGAAGTCGTGATCCTTAGGTCAACAAGGTCTGGTCCGTCCCATGTCAAGGATTTGTACCTTAACACGTACCCGGAGTAATATTACTTCCCTCCTTGAAATTGAGCTTGTCTGCATGCTGACAAGCTGGAAGTGGAGATATGAAGTGAATGTCCTCTGCCTCACCCCTCCCCCCCCACCAGCAGACTAGAATCTCCCTGGTTCCCAAATTCCAACATTGCCGGAAAACATAATTGGGGTCAGATTAAGCTCGACCGCCACCGTTGGTGGTAACTGTTACTGTCCCATCTCATCTGGTGGAATGCCTTGATGAAACTTCAGAAGTTAGACACGAAAGGTCTAATGGATCTTTTCATCTGTAACTCAGAGCGATATGCCAGCTTTCCAGCCCGAGCAAGGATGCAGAAACGTTCAAGGCAACAGGGGAGAAGCTTGTGGAATTTTTGCCCTCTAATGGACTAGTGACAGCATGGCTGCAGTCTGCAGAGGTAGCCACATCCAATCCCCGACTTGAAACCCACTTCCAGGCAGTCTTTGTTGTTATGCCATTTCAAAAGGTCCTGTAAAGCAGCTTCTCCTAAGAAACCCGAAGAACCGTATTTTGTTCCTGCAATGTGTGGTCAACTCCCACCATACGTGTTCTGCCACCAGTGTAGGGTGGAAGGATCTCTGCCATAACCCATCCGGAATGGTGTGACAACAAGAACAGAGCGAAATGAAATCCTGTAAGTTGTAACAATAGTACCTATTCACTCAAACTTCAGCCTGTGCAGCCTGGTGATCTTGCCCGTCAAGAATACTAGTAAGGATTACTGAGATGCTTAACTAAGCCTTTAGAATGCTACGCTAGAGAAAGACTCTAGTGAAAAATGAGAGTTCGGAAGAATGTCTTTATATTACTCTTGGATTGCTTGGTTATAAATGAGCCCCCCTTAAGGGTATCCAAAGCTCCTCGCCTCCTTAACTAAAGGTGGATATCGATATAATTCTACGACTAGGATTACTAGATATTACATTATATTAAATCATTTTAGAGTATTATTGATTACATAAGATAATCCCATAACTCTATGGAACACTCGAGATAATCTTGGGGTGTTGACCGTGTTGAAGAGGGTTTTGGCATGAGCAAGATGGTTGCTTATTTCATTTGCTCTTGCATCCCTTGCGAATTCCAAGCTCAAGTCACTTCCATGGATTTCATGGAATGGTTACCCCAGTTGAACTATAACAGTTTTGATGGTGGTCATGGATCATTTTGCGAAGTACGCCTATGTTACATCCTTACACCGCCCATCTTTTGCTACGGTTGTGTTCAACGAGATTGTTTGTTTGCATAGCATTACAGAACCGATCATATCAAATTGCGGTAAAATCTTCCTAAGCATCTTCTGGAGTGAGTTGTTTCAATTGTGTGGCACTCTAAATTGGCCTTTTATACATCACATCACCCATGACAGAAATTGTCAACCGTTTGGAAATGTATATCAGGTTATTCTCAGGTGCGTAGCGGGGGACATACCCGCACACTGGGTTACGTGGCTGACTTGGGTGGAATACTGTTACACTATCTTCTCCCACAGTTTCATTCCTTCCTGAGTGATACACTATTCCACTGTTCCAGCTTGTCTATGACTGCAAACCTCCACAGTGTTGGCCAAGCCTTACATGATACAGATGACATTTTGTAGGCCGCCAAGGACAAATGAGTGGTGGCGCAAACGACCATGATGCAAGCCTATGACCAACATCACCGGGAGGTCAAGTTTTGTGTGTGTGTGTGTGCGCGCGCAGGGGGGTGGGGGGGTTGTTGCTTACTATTAGAGCACTATCACCATATCTTTGTCCACTTTCATTAATATCACAAGCTCTCACTTGGTCCATGTAATCCCACCGGAAAGTAAGCTCCATAGCACTTGTCACTTATCCATTTTGAAGCCACATCAGCGGAGCCCGACAGCCACCTGCAGCCCAATGGGATACCCTCCACCTAAGGTGGAAGACAGGGAAGATTTTACTTTCTCCGCTAGTGGTTCTTCCAACTTGCATCAACATGGGAGCGAAGTAGAGATTGAACAAGAAATGTCCCTAGATAGGAGCAAAATGCCATCAAAGTACCAAACCAGGAGTAACATTGTTTCTATCCTCTAAGGGTCTGTTCTTTAGAGCTTGAACTCTTAACTTCCAGTTTCTTCCAGTTCTTTCCAGTTCTTCTAGTTCTTCCAGTTCCTTCCAGTTTTTTCCAGTTCCTTCCAGTTTTTTCCAGTTTCTTCTAATTTCTTCCAACTATATTTGTTTTCTTCAAATTCTTTCTACTTTCTGACAAATCACTCTAAAAAAATATATTATTATTATTATTACAACTTTTTTTTAATTACAATTTTTATGTTCATAACTATAGTTTATAAATTATTTCATTTTTTCATCTCACTATTTTTATGATTCACATTCATTCTTCCAGTTTCTTCAACTTTTTAATATGAATAATACCGTTTCTTTGTATATTAATCTACATGAAAAATTAGGAAACTATTTTAAAAATTATGGATAAATAGTTATATAGAATATTTTTTAATCTAAATTTATATAAGGTAAATTACATTTAAGGGTCTGGAAGAATAATATTATGAAAACCAAGAGAAAACTACATTTTTAAAAAGAAAAAATGACCCAAGAAGTGTTATATTTATGCTAATTTTATATTCTAATTATTTTTTTAAACTAGCTTTTTATATATGAAAAATAATACTTGTAATATTTTTTTATCTGAAAGACAATCATTAAGATAACGTGATAACACCACCACTACCACCACCACCACCACCACCAACAACAACAACAACAAGAATAATAATAATAATAATAATTTATAACAACAAGAATCAGAATGAGAATAATATAAAACCACACAAAAAAAAATTTAAAAAGTTTTTTAAGATTTTTCAATTTTTTCTAGTTTTTTCAGTTTCTTTTAATTTTTTTCAGTTTTTCCAATTTCTTCCAGTTTCTTCTAGCTTCTTCCAGTTTCTTCCCGTTCTTCCAATTTCTTCCAGTTTTTTCCAACATCCAGCTCTTTTTTCCAGTCCTAAAGAACAGGTCCTAAATAGGAGTTTGATAGTGTGTGGCAGTGTGATGACAGTATAGCAATATGAATGGTGGAGCACTGGTCAATGGTGGTCAACTCTAGTGGTGGCGGCACTCTAGTGGCAGTGTGCAATGTGAGAGTGGTAGTGTGATCTCCTATTTAAGTCAAAAAAAGAGTGCTACTCCTATTTTGATATTTTTATTGCCTTTTTCTCCTACATATGGAGTTCTCCCACTGTGAACAGCTGGTAAGAAGGGGCTGACAACGAGGCCACTTGGGAACCTTTTAAGGAAATAAAGGTATGTATCCAGGCTTTGAGCTTGCAAAAAAGCTCAATTTTGAGGGTGCGTAGTCTCTCTCACACACACAATTTCGAGGGGGGAGTGGTCTCTCTCTCTCTCTAACCACTGGCAGACAGGGAGACTGTTCTTCTTCTTTTTCTCCCGCCGAGCTTTCGATTCCAAAGGGCCTTTAACAATATGTCACCTTGTATATAAGGTCAATACCCGATCGCTTAACTTACATTTCCAAACATTATATTACGGAATGTCATCCATAATGTTGCATACTTGTATGTCACTTCATGATCCAGATTCCCTTTTCTCAGTAGAACAAACATGTATAAGTGGATAAAATTTATTAAGCAAGACATAGTGATTTGATGCACATGCCTAACATAAGTACCATAAGCCATGCAACTAACATTCTCATAAGAGGACCTCCTGGAGCCCAGTTTGAAAACTTAGATAGCAAGCTAGCCATGTGAATTATTCATTCCAGCTTGAGGGGGTCGGAAATGTTGGAAGATTTCTGTGATTTATGTTAACATATACTCCCTCCGTCCCATATTGGATGCCACACTCCAAACAACGTGCAAAATCCAATCATTTTTAAAATCATTTTAATTACAAATTAGTATAGAAATAAAAAGTATAAATTACACCGTTTAAAAGTACATAAAAAACTCTATAAAATAAGAGGTGACAAGAATTTTTTATTTTATCAAATTATCAATGAAAATATACAAATAAACAAAAGTTATCGAGAATCTGTAATAGTGACAGAGGGAGTAATATACTTGATTGTTTGATTTAGGTAGTTGAGAGATATTATAAGTTAGGCAAATATACTTAGGATTTATATTAATTCTTTCTGTATTTAGAGAGAGACATTACCCGGTTGATGTCCTACAATAAGCTGAAGTAGAGTGAAATAACATGGAATAAACAGAATATTACATTTTTCAAATTTTCCTGTATCTTATAATTCATTTGCCATCAATAATATTGGGTACTTAGGGCATAGTGCTCAATAACATTAAACCATTCCAACATATCAGGCTGCAATTGATCCAATAGTCACATGAAAGAATCCATATTTTAAGATTTTTATCCATTAACTGCCTCAAATCATAATGAGTGAAGATTTGGTATTTACCATGTTGTGATACAGACTCGATGAACAGTGCTAGCAGCAACTAAAGCGACTGCCTCTGCAAGTACAACTGCGAAGACGAGAAAGAAAAAGATTACAAACTTAGTAGTCTTCCAAAAGTAATCATCTGTACTGCAACTATGTAAAAAAATGAGTTAAAGAAAATGCACACAACCTGTGCCCCATCCACTCTTGCTTCCATTTGCCTCTTGATAATTTCCTATGAACTGTGAACATAATATCCAAATCAAGCTAGTTAGCTAAGAAAGCATCCACTGTCTACAAGTGCACAGAAAATCTAGCAAGATTGTGTAATAATCAAAGTCAGCTACACTGCGTATATGTATAAAGAAGTCCCATCACATAACTGAACATTAAATACAAATAGATATTACTCTGTATTATCTAGTGGACTTTGTTGTAGGAAGTCCCAGCAAATTATATAATTTTTAGAAAGTAAGAGCATAGAGCAATACTGTTTTAAGATCTCTAGATGTTTTATCATTTCAATGTATGGCACCAACATTGAAATATGTGGAATAAGCATCAAATAGCAGATACCCTACACCATAGAAACAAATAATGACTCTACGAAATTGATGAAACCATTTAAGGAGAAAAAGAAAACTACATGTATTCTTTGAAATCTTAGATATTTATGGAATTTCTATTAAATGATTAACTGAGTAGAACAAATAGCACACATATCCTTGGACCTTGGTTTTATGTACACATGTACCTATATTGGCACAGTTCAAAGGGTGTGCATAACACATACTCCCTCCGTCCCATAAAGTCCTTCACATTTCAAAAAAATCGTGTCCCTAAAAGTCCTTTCCATTTCTATTAAAAAACCACTTTTACCCCTTACTTTTTCATACACTACCTATCACATCATACCTTTTTCCTAATAATCTACACATCACATCCTACTTTTACGCATTACATCAAGGGCATTTTTGGAAAGTCAACACAAAATTATCCCTCCTTATTTTACCACTTTAGTCAAACCGTCCCTATCATTATGGGACGGAGGGAGTACAAAAGACATACATCAAAATGGTAACTAAAAACAGTTTTCTTCATAACAATAAGCATGATTTAGAAAAAATGATTATGAATGTCGCTGCTTGACAGTGTTTCTCGGAACGGAGAAATGTATCAAATTTCTTAGGTGAACAAATTGTAGATTGCATCATGAAGGGATCATATTTGTGTTGTTGTTTTTTTTGTGTCATGCACCTTTTTGAAAAACACATTACACACAAGATAAGAATGTGGATTGTACCGTTAGCAATGTAAGGAATATGAAAGAACTCGTCAAGCCTCCAAGGATAGTATACAACTCAGAAGAAGCTAATAGACCTCTAAACATTCCTTGCAGGGACACAGTGGACACAAAAAGAAGAAAGGAATATAACATAGAACTACCGGACCCTGCCATTGATTTCAGTTTAGCTGGCATAAACAAAATCAACCCATTAGAATTGCATTAAAAAACAAAAACTGACAAGACTAAGCAATTCAGTTCAATGTGCAATTGTCCACATGGCCATACTATTCGACAACAAAAATCTCAAAGGACAAACACCAGAAGTAGTGTTTAGAGAGTGCTTCTTTGGTGCACCAAAGGTCCAAAAAAATTTTGTGAACCTTCTCACATAAAATTTAGTTTTTTGATTTTTATAAAAATAAAAATGCTTATTTCAACAATAAGCAAATGCAGCCTCATCTATAGGTGCAACTTGGACCTTAAGTCCATGATAGAATTTGCCTTGTTTAGATACATAAGAAGAACCATTGGAGCCCTCAAACAAAATAAACAACAAAGACCCATTATATTCTCAATCCCGTTGGGGCCTGGGGTCAAAAGAGCAGTGCACATACTTTACTTAGTTTTAATAGACAACAACATCCTTTGGACCCATGAGGCATTGCTGCAATTACTCCCAAAACTTCATTGAAAGTAAGGAGGGGAATGTGAATGTTCCATTTTGATTTGTACATTATTTACCCGAAGCTAAAACATTGTAAAAAAAATATCTATTTTAGCTACTGAGGAATTCTCCAACGAAATTCCAAAAAAAGAAAACATTTTTTTCTCATGAGAATAGTTCTGAACAGCTGAAACTTGCAAAAAATTACTCACATGTACCTCTTATTTTGAGCTTAGAATTGTCAGGTCCCATCAATTTTAAAAATGTATTGCAAGGTCCCTTAAATTACTAGTAATTAACTCTCGGGGTACATTCCGTCAAACCAACCGTGAATGCTAGCGACTCTGCTACCTTCCATAATAACAACCCTGGAAATTCCAAATTTAACCCCTCACTTCTCTTCTTCAAGTATACAAATACAGCAGAGGCGTAGAAATTAGGAATTAGTGTTATTTGCTAAGAACCCTCACAACCTTCATTAAAATCACACACACACATGGTAAAATTTAAACAATCAAAACTCCAGTTTCATGTTCGATAAAATTGAGTCTAAAGAAGATGAGGAACAGAAATGGATTTATAAATTCCACTGGTTCAGTCATAATTTTTTATACTTACCATTGAGAAACTAACAGGAGAATCCAAGAGAAAGTTAACCGTAGCTTTCTTGCTTTTGCGGAAGTTGAAGTGAGAAGCAAGTCAACACGCGCAATATATCCCTATTTGGAGTAAACGAGGGGTATAACAAATAATTTGCAGCCTCTAACGGTTGGTTTGACGGAATGTACCCCGCGAGTCAATTACTATATAATTTAAGGGACCTCGCAGTACACTTTTAAAATTGATGGGACCTGACAGTTCTAAGCGCAAAATAGGAGGTATAATTTTTTGTGAAACTTGAAACAAAATGGACGCGTGTTTATTTTCTTCAGATGCAGATGAATCATTGAACTTCGGACAATTGATACTCCGTATGTTCGAATTGATTTCAGATCGCATCATAGGAATATTACTCCGTAATTTAGTCCAGATTTGATTTCAGATCAAAATGCGCGCATTTCAGATGGAAACTAGAATTGGGAATCCTACAAATGGAAAAGGAAGAGGAGAAATTACCTTGTAAACTCTTTCCGGAAATCCGAAGAGCTCGAGGTTTGTGGAGGAAGGACTTGCGCAGAAATGTCTGAAGATCGAAGGGAACTACAGTGAAAGGGTTGGATAGTTCGATGGCACAGTTTGTTCTTGGTTTGAAATAATGAAGGAAAAAGAACTCATCACAAACTATAATAGTAGAAAATGGGACTTAACACGTTTAAGTAGAATATTTTAACTAATCAAAATTAGTTGAGTCAGCGTGTGCCAACTGAATGAGTGACATGTCTTACAACGACAATTATTTGTTTTTGCCAATTTTTACACTTTTTAAACATATTTTAATTATTAAAAATTATTTTATTTATCTATTTTTTTTACAAAAAGTAAATGTACTCCTATTTTTTAAAAAAAAAACTTATTTTTTGTACAAAAAAATTAAAAAAAAAAAGAAGAAAGACAAACGCATAGAATGCTTGGCGGAGTGGAACGATCTTGCCACTCCATGCCAAGCAAGAATTTCGGTGATGTGGCACAGCGAGTCGAGGAGATGCCTCGCCGATGGCCATGCTCTAAGAGCATGAACAATGGCAAGTCATATACTAGAATGTCATATGTTGACATGACACTATTTAACCAATCTAAGTTAATCTAGTCACACAGTGGCATGACATTGGAGTGGTATGTTCTGTAGTGGCAAGTCATTATTTTTTACTCACTTTAGATTTTTGGCATGTTTTAATCATTTTATTTTACTTTTTCTCAACTCAATATATTTTATTTTCATTTTTATAAATGTTTATATTTTGTTGTGAAGATTTAAATTGTACGCAGTACACTCTAATTATTCATAATTATTTAGTAAAATATTTGAATATGGAAAATTAAAAATAGAATATATATACTCCCTCCGTTCATAATTAAAGTTCTCACTTTCTTTTTTTTGATGTTCACAATTAAAGTTCTCATTTCCTTTTTTGGTAACTTTTTTATATCAAAAAGACTTAAATACCCTTCTTTACCTTTTACCTTTCTTCTCTCCTTCCTTTTCTTCTCTCCTCTTTTTCTTTCTTTTTTCCTTCTCTTCTGTTCTTCTTCTTTCTTTTCTCTCTCTTTTCTTGTTCTCCTTCTTTCCTTCTCTCTCTTTTCTTCTTCTTCCACCTTCGGATTTTTCATTTCTTTTCTTTTTTCTTCTTCTTCAGATTTTTCCTTCTTCTTTTTCCCCCTTCTGAATTTTCTTTTCTTCATCTTCTTCATTTCCTTCCGATTTTTCTTCTTCTTCTTCCCCCATTTTGATTTTTCCTTTCTATTCTTCTTCTTCTTTTTCTTCTTCCTCTTCTTCCCCCCTTCCGATTTGGCGTTTCTAGTCTTTTTCTTCTACTTCTTGTGCGTCAGATTTGGAAAAATCGTATTCAGATCTGTGAATCGGATTCATCTTCAGCGTCGATGAAGAAATTCGATTCAAATCTTTTTCATCTTCTACATCTCCTTCAGAACTCTTCGCAGGGTTTGAGTCGGAAATTCGCCGGAATTTCTCACTGGATCGCCAGAATCTCACTGGCTGGAATTTTGCAGGGTTTAAGTTGCCGGAATTTCTCTCCGGACGATGGGATGGGCTGGAAGACTTGGCCAGGAACGCTGGGTAAGGTTGAGGGGTATTTTGGGAAAGTCAATGTAAATTTTAACTTTTATTAAACTCCGTGCCCGGTCACACTGGGAACTTTAAATGTGGACGGAGGGATTGTAAATTATGACGGCACATTTTAAAAATTCGATATGAAGTTATATAAATAAAAGTTGGGATAGAAAATATAAAGAACATAATCATAAAAATGCATCAACATAAAAGTCTATTACAACCATTTAAAAAATCCGAGAAACACATCATAATAATAATAATTCGAAAAGTATAAAACTTGTTTACGAGAATTGTTGTGGACTTTTGATGGTGTTTCTATTCCACACTTCTTCTATCAAGTCTGCCTTGAGACGTGCATACCCGTTGAGGTCCCTCACACGAGCTGATTAGCGGAAGTAAGTTTCCCAACATGGGTGATGTTGTCGTATGTTTGATGCTGGAGTAAAACTCTCAACTTTGTCATACTCGTATGCAAGTATATAGTTGTGTCGTTCATCTTCCACAATAATATTGTGTAGAATGACGCAAGCTATCATTATCCTTTGAAGATCTTTTTGCATAAAGCGAGCAGGTCCACGGACTATTGGAAATCGACTCTGTACTACACCGAATGCTCGCTTGACATCCTTTCTATAGGACTCTTGCCGCACTATAAATAATTTCTCTTTTGGTCCTCTTGGATTAGTTGGATGTGGAATTCATTTGACAATATGGTTGACCAACTTGGGTATATTCCATCACCAAGGTAGTACCCGATGTCATACTTATGAGCGTTCACAATGTATTCACATTTTGGGGCTTGGTCAACATATAATTCATCAAACAGCAGTGAGGGGTGAGGAACATTGATGTTGTTTTGGCTTCTAAGGACCCCAAAGAATGCATGCCATATCCATAAGTCATACGACACTATGGCCTCAAGTATAATAGTGGGGACCTTGTATAGACCCTTTTCGAATGACTGTCTCCATGCAACTGAACAATTCTTCCATTCCCAGTGCATGCAATCAATGCTCCCTAACATGCCAGGGAAATTATGACCCTCTGCAACAACTAATAAGTGATCAACGTCAGATTGATTTGGACATCGTAAATATTGTTTCCCAAAGACATCAATGATTGCTTGGCAGAACAACTTAGTGCACTCTAGAGTCGTACTAGAGCCGGTCTTTATATATTCGTCCATACAGTCAGCAGACACACTATATGCCAACATTCTCATAGCGGCGGTGCATTTGGTAAGAGGTGACAACCCGGCTTTTCCAGTTGCGTCAAATCGTTGTTGGAAGTAAAGTGAATGGTTTCCTAAAGTCTCTAATATGCAAAGTAACACTAGCCTTCGCATTCTGAACCGACGACGAAATTGTCTAGCATCGTACACTGGGTCTTGCACAAAGTAGTCTTTCATTAGGCGATCGTGAGCCTCAGCCCAAGCTCTATCTGTTAGTTTCCTTTTCTTTTCTGATCGTTGCATAAAGTTTTCATGTTCAATATCTTGTTGCGTCATTGTCACAACGCAATTCAGTAACATTATGTCTTTTTCACCATATGATTCATATTGCTCACTCGGGGTGGCTATCGGTTGGGGCGTTTCATCAATAGGCCACACAAAATCCTTGAATTCTAGGTAACATTTGTGATTCGTCGATTGAAAATGGTCTTGCCATCGATATGCACCTACATATGTTAACATACACACAAACAAATATAAGAGCTTAAACACCTTACATTGTAAAAAATTAAACCAATGTATACAAGGGAGTTCTTACTTATAACACAAACCTTGCAATTCATGAATCAAATTCTTTAACAAATAAAAGTCACAATAACACAAATGTTTGAACAAAATTGAGATTACAAATGTAGAGTTCAAATTAATTGTATCCCCTCTTCCTCATAACCTTGGCAATCTTATCTTCAAAGTATTGATGTCGAATGGGATCCGAGATGGTAGATGTATCTATCATCATCAGCCTATCTTCGTCCGCACGAGCACGAGCTTCCTCTGCATACATACGAGTTTGCTCCGCCTCTGCCTCCTTTTCCCGAACCACTACAATGCGTTGTACTGAATCTTTAAGAGCAACCACATGAGGGGTGGCATACTGTTTTCTTCTTGTCCATTTCTAAGCCTCTTTTACAGCTTTTCTACCCACAGGTCGTTGTAGATTACGAGCAATAGAATCGATATCTGTGGAATTAGTTTGAGTCGCGGGGGTTGTTGGTGTGGTTGGGCTTAAGGTTGGGCTTCTCGAGTTGCCTAAGCGTAATGAGCCTCCAGCATCAAATTGCACAGGGTGGGAGTTTTGGGAAGAGTTTTCGGGACCAACTACTAAGGAATGTCAACATGGAACATCCCTTAGTTCACGCCACCAGTATTCTAAATTAAACCTTCTTCCTGTACGATGAAACATAATCTCTATGAGCCATCATAAGAATGTCTGATTCATTGGCTCCACTCGGATTCAATCGAGTAATCTTCTCAACACATGCATAAAATTTACTTACTTCTAGTTTTGCGCGTAACCATCTAGAGTTGATAATTTTTTGTGTTCTAGATTTAATATGAGAGGGAAGATCTAGGTTGTAGTTCTCCTCAACTCGTCTCCAAAACCCCCCCGCTTTTTGATATGTGCCAATGATCGAATCCATGCTTACATTTATCCAAGAACGGATCAATCGAATATCTTCGTCATGCGACCAATTTGTTTGTTGGAGAGGAAGAGCTTGTCTCTTAGGAACATGCGTAGTTTGTGCCATGTGTTGAGAATTGCATTGTGATTCATTTTTTGTAATCTCTCCCTAGAGCAATAGTTCAGTGAAGCTTCTACCATCATTCTCCATTTAAATCTACATATTTGCCCAAGTGCGGGAGTGGAGAAAGTGAATTTAAACAGATTGTAAATTTAGATAATTAATTCTAATATATATATATATATATATATATATATATATATATATATATATATATATATATATATATATATGAAAATTTTATCATTATTTAATACGGAAGAAAACCGAAGATACATCAATGATTAGAGCCCCCTTGACATTTTTGGGTAGATGCTCTAATTGAGAATAATAAGTACTGAAATCGTTATTAAGTGTAAACTTTGCTAGGTTGTGTGCCGCAGTGTTTGCTTCTCGATAAATGTGACTTATTTTCCCCCCTGATTTCTGTATTGTTTCCATGATTTCTTTGTGGGAGGAGTTGGATGATTCTTTAATTTTTCTCACCCCATTCTTTGAGTCCATGTAGAGATTAATAGGTTGACCAAGAAATTTGCTGCGTTTGACTCCACACTAGATATTTTTCAGNTAATTGAGAATAATAAGTACTGAAATCGTTATTAAGTGTAAACTTTGCTAGGTTGTGTGCCGCAGTGTTTGCTTCTCGATAAATGTGACTTATTTTCCCCCCTGATTTCTGTATTGTTTCCATGATTTCTTTGTGGGAGGAGTTGGATGATTCTTTAATTTTTCTCACCCCATTCTTTGAGTCCATGTAGAGATTAATAGGTTGACCAAGAAATTTGCTGCGTTTGACTCCACACTAGATATTTTTCAGTAAAACAAAGTGTCAGACCGTCCATACAATAGCAATCACATTCCTTGTGGATTAGATTTTCTAGTTTTGTTTAATTGGGAAAGAAGTACAACAAGAGATGAGTGCAAGTATTGTTGGTGTCTCTCAATTCCTAGATTATAACAACCAGGAATCTACAAGAAAAATGAGCTCTAATGTAACATCTTCACCAAACACAAACTATTCCAGATTGAATTGATAATTCTGTTCAACGGGTATTTGATCTTTACATAACAATTTCTATTCTTTAATAAATCTTGAACCTAGTCAAGCATGTATAGTTTATTGTTGTTACCACTATAGCAACAAGTTTGATACATGTAGCTTCTTTTTATAAAGAAAGCAAACTATTTTTTTTTACAAATACTTAGAAACCCGTTATACTTGATACTTTAGTATATATTTTAGATACTAGAAATTTTTCATTAAAATAAATTGTTAGGTGATAAGGACTAATTTCAGTGGTTTTGTTTTTTTCACTCTAACTTTGTTCAATTGTCATAACAAAGGCAAATGAACACATGACAATTTGTTTAATTGTCATAACAAAAGCAAATAAACACATGATACTTTTAGTGTTAATGCACTTCAATTCTCACACCTATGGTGAGAGATATGATCTTTTATATGTGCCTAGGTATCCTTGCTTTTTGAACAACTTCCAAAGCACAAAAATCCAAAATATTGGAAACTTCAAGCTGGATTCCACTTAAAAAACCCATCACAACTTAAGCTCACAAGCCTCGTGAAATACCAGCAGAACAATTAAATCAACTCTAAGGTTCTAGGTAATGTGTTATTTGTCACTATTTTGAGGTTCCTAGTTTTGATTTAGGAGTGCTTATTATTATGGGTTTCAATATTTCATAAGCAAATACTTTTGTGTTTGTCTCGACCCTTATACTTCGGGATTTATAGTATTTTTTGTCCAAAAACTCAACAACCTACATTTGGATATTTTGTCAAACACCTAGTGTGCACTACCATGACTTCATCTATTTGATTTTTTGATGAATTAAAAACAATCCATTCGACCTAAATGAGATCAGGCAGATAGATAGAATGCAGAGCAATCAAAGCTAGAGATGAGTGGAGTTACCTAAGGGTCGCAGGTGAACGATGATGGCCGGAGAAGACTAGCACAGAGAAGAGAAAAAACCAATGGCTGGAGAAGACTAGCTCGGAGAATACTAGTAGCAGATGATTTTCACACACAGAGAAGAGAGTGACCGATGATTTTCCAAGAGAGTAATTGTATTTTGTTGCTTCAATTTGCCTCGCATCTGCCACGCAAAGTGAAGTGGCTCAGTGAATACCTCACGACCCTTTTTTTCCTCGCCCACTGCCTCGCTTCCCTCTACACGAATGGCAGGGCATGGCAAGGCTTTTCCAACAATCTCTATGTAAGAGCACTGGAAAAACTGGGGCTTCAAACTTCCTCTATGTCACGTCAGCTTTAACTTACATCACCAATTTACTGGAAATGGGTTTGAAGCCGCGGGGCCTCAAACTGGGCTTCAAACCTTCATTTTTTACATTTTGAATACACATCTTCTAAAATTGAATTAATAAAATTGAATTATTCAATTTTATTTATTAAAACATTACATTAATGAACAACAAATACATTCATTAATTTAAAAAAATCATATTCATTCATTAAAAAAACTACATTCATTAATTAAAAAAATTACATTCATTAAATAAAAAAATTACATTCATTAATAAAAAAATTACATTCATTGAACAAAAAAGTACATGGTGCGATAACGGGAAAGGGGGTGGTGGGGGGTGGGGGGGCTCCAACGGCCGAATTTTGGCCTACAATTTGCATCAAAAGTCTGACCCTCCAAAAATAACGGTGCTTTAACAAGAAAGGGGGTCGGTGTTTAATGCCCCCCACACGTCAAAATCAACTTAATGCCGGTGGGCGTTAGTGGTATTACCGCTGCTCTAATTATACTCTCTTTTTTCAATTCTAATTAAATTTTTTACATTTTTCAATTCTTTCCGATTTTTAATTTTTTTCAACATCTTTCAAAACTTCTTTCAATTTCTTCAAACCATAACTTAAAACTTATTTAGTTGTATTTTCATATTATTATCATCATCATCATCTCAATAAAATAAAATATAAACTTAATGTAATGTTACAATTTATTAAATAAATTATGGCTTCAGATAAATTTTAGTTATTATTATAGAGTCAACGTAAATTATTAAAATTTTAAATTAATTAATTAGGTTTTTTATTTTCTTTGTTATTTTTAAATATTCCTTAACCATGTATCTTTAAAATGTGTGCTACTCAATGTTATAATTTTTTGCTCATAAATTATGGAAAAAAATATATTAAGTTGTGCTATAAGTTTAATATTGTTAAATATAGTGTTTCTATATTTAATATATTATGTATATATTATTGTATTATGTATATACTAGTTATCATACATGTTTAGGTTACCTTAATTGCATTTCCTAACATAACTAGGACTCTCCTAGTATATAATGTCTTGTAATATCACATTATGAATCATTGGAAATATCAAATCTTTCATGGTATCAGAGCATTAAACTTCTCGGCTCCCTCTCCTTCTTCGGCTCTCTCTCTGCTGTTTACTCCCCCTCTCTTCCGGCGTGATCTCCGTCGTCTCTCCCCACCGACATCAGCATGGCCGACGTTTCGTCTATCTCCTCTGAAAATATCTCTTCCACTAAAACCCCCATCTTTCTTTCACCACTGTCTCCAACATCAAATTACATATTTCGGTTCAACTCAGCATCTCCCGTAACGCCCCGAAACATACCCTAGAATTATTATTAAATAATTATTCGATTAAACAAATTTGTTTTGATTATTATTGGGCTTTGGGCTGATATGAAATATTTTTTTATATCCAATATCAAAATCTGGATAAGTCTAATCGAGATAAATCCAATATGTGGACTATTTGTGTGGTCTTGATTGGGAACCTGAGTACAGACCCAAATCAAGAATAAATAAATTAATTGATTATGATGTGAACTTTGTAATGATTTATTGAAATAAATCATGAGAATAATTGATATGAATTAAATGAGAGAACCTTTTATGAGAAAGGTCAATTAAACCAATTTTGACTCTGTTAAAGTCAAACACCCAAAAATATGATGTCGGAAAAAGTATTACAAATAAATATAAAAATTATATCGTTAGATAGAGTTTAACTGCCCGATCGCAACGGTGCAAACGGAATTCAATTCGGAGAAAGTTGGACCAAAAAGTGTACCCCGATTGGAACCAAAATTGGTCCCAATCAGGGACACTGTGCGAACGGCGCCTCCTTCCCCACTACGCCGATCCCAGAGTCACCATAGTTGTTTTCTTCTTCTCTCCTTCTCATTATATAAGAAAACCCA